AAACAAATCTGATGCGTTGAGGCAAGGACTCCACAAGACCTCTGACCGTTTCCTGTGGTATCCTTTAACTCCTGCAAGCTGCGAGGTGGGACCTCCATGGATCTGATTTGTTGTTCCAGCACATCCCACAGATGCTCCATCAGATAGGAGATCTGGGGAATTTGGAGGCCAAGGCAACACCTTGAACTCTTTGTCATGTTTCTCAAACCACTCCTGAATGATTTTTGCAGTGTGGCAGTGTGCATTATCCTACTGCAATCAGGAAACACCATTTACATGAAGGGGTGTACATGGTCTGCAACAATCTCTAGGGAGGTGGTAAGTGTCAAAGTAACATTCACATGAATGCCAGGACCAAAGGTTAACCAGCAGAGCATTGCCCGTAGCATAATACTGCCACCGCCAGCCTTCCCTCTTCCCATAGTGCATCCTGATGCCATCTTCTCCCAAGGTAAACGATGCACATGCACCTGGCCATCCACCTGATCTAAAAGAAAACATGACTCATCAGACCAGGCAACCTTCTTCCATTGTTCCATGGTCCAGTTGTAATGCTCACGTTCCCATTGAAGGCTCTTTTGACAATGAGCATGGGTCATTATAGGCACTTCAGTTTCACAGCCCCATAAAAAGCAAATTGTGATGCACCGTGTGTTCTGACAACTTTCTATCATGGCCAGTATCCAGTTTGCAGCATTTTGAGCTACAGTAGCTCATCTGTGTAATAAGACCAGATGGGCTAGCCTTCGCTCTCCATGTGCATCAATGATCCTTGGGCACCTATGACCCTGACACCAGTTCACCAGTTGTCCTTCCTTGCACCACTTTTGGTAGGTACTAACTACTGCATACCGGGAACACTCCAAAAGACTGTTTTAGAGATGTTCTTACCCAGTCATTTAGTCAACACTATTTGGCCCTTGTCAAAGTCATCTTTTTGGTTGCTCATTTTCCCTGATTCTAATATGTGAAATTTAATAATTGACTGTTCACTTGCTGCCTAATATATCCCACCCCTTGACAGATGCAATTGTAATGACATAATTAATGTAATTCTCTTCATCTGTCAGTGGTTTCAATGTTGTAGCTGATCAGTGTATGAGCAATATTTTGGAGGGCAGTTAGCTGCAATTGCAATGATATTGGACTATTGTCTGATAGTGGTTTCCAGTTTACCCCTAAAATTTCCAATAAAGCAGAACACCAGCTCTTGGACACCTTATTTAACCCGTCAACACAACTGCCAAGAGTGTAATCAAGATGGGGTGGGTCAGATTCCTGGCTGGCCTCACATGTTATAGGCTATGCAAAGAGCTCTGCTGAAGCATTCTTTGTATGGTCATATCACAGATTTCTAATGGTCCTGTGATTGGACCATTTCACCAGCTAAAATTAAAGGGACACTGTAGGCACCCAGATCTCTTCAGTTCATTGAAATGGTCTGGGTGCAATGCCCCATGTCCCTTAACCCTACCATGGTAATTATTGCAGTTTCTGAGAAACTGCAATTACTTCTGAGGGTTAACTCCACCTGAAGTGGCTGTCTACCAGACAGCCACTAACTGGACTTCCTGAATTGAAATGGATCTTTGGTCCGGTATCTGACGCTGGACGTCCTCACGCCCTGAGGACTTCCAGCGTCAGAGTTTTCCCCATAGGAAAGCATTAAATAATGGTAAATAATGCTTTCCTATGGGGAACTCCTAATGCAAGCGCAGCCATTGCCGCGCGTGTGCATTAGGTTTCCCCCGCCGACATCATCCGGCGGTGGAGACCTAATGCACATGAGCGGCAATGGCTGTGGGCGGAACATAACCCAGTGACAGTTTAAAATACAAATGGTGAGAGCACTCAGATAAAACAAAAAATATACAATAATATTACCCAAACTTGATTACAATCTGGAAGTAAACACAGATGGAAAAAAGCACATAGGGTAATAACGTAACAATAAAAACTTAAAGACTCTAATACTGGTCTCACTCACATAAAAAGAGCCACTTAAATAGCTGGCTCAAACTGCATGCCTTGAATCAAACTCTTATTGGGCTTTCGCTGGGTCCTTTCTGTAGTTGTATTCCATGCACCATGGAACATAACCCAGTGCTGAGGGACATCTAATGGAGTAAGGAACCGCCTAAGTAGGAAATAAGTTATTATCAATTTGGATTTGTTTATTGGTGTATTCACCTTTGTTCTGATTGAACATTTCAAAATGAAATTTAGATATTATCCACACTTGTCCTTTAACTATTTCTAAGCATAGTCAGTGGTGGTGTTCTGCCAATTAGTATAGATCTTCCATCTATACTTCTGGGCTTTTTTGAAAATATGACTGCATATTTTGACCCTGAAGGAATGGGGTCATCATGGTTGAAAACCTTAGCTAATGGTCATGGTTGCCAATATAGCATGTATTTGTGACCTCCTTTCAAGTATCTTGTATCTAGAGTTCTTAACATTTTTTAAAGGTACCAAAATGATATCATTAGTTTGGCAACCTATTCTTCAATTTTAAAATTAGCTCAGTGACCCATTCTTAGACTGTAATATATTACATAACAAAATACATTCTGCAACACACCTCCAGTAGACCTTCACAATGTTATAGGGATCCTCACTGCAATGGTGAATAGCCTGGGGACTCAGTTATGTGAGCTAGCCCAGGGCAGAGACTTTAGATTGCGAACCTTGTCATTACATCTGCCACCTTAATTTCTATATTCCTGTAAGGCGCCTTACTTCACAGCCACAGCAAAAAAGAAAACTTTATGGTTCCATACTGTACTCATTGGGGTAAAGAGAGACTGTTCAATATCACACAGTACTCCCATATAGTAACAATAATTATAATTTTCTGTCTAGGTGACAAACTGAAAAAAAAAGCTAAAATAGAAATTGCTTAAGAGACCTTGCCTGTACATGTTTTACAACGTGAAGATTACAGATTCATGAGCATGTGCCCTGCCTGGGTCTAGTATAAAAACAATTCATAATTAGATTACTGCCGTGGATACAAGCATACAGAAAAAAAAAACAAATGTAATGGGAGAAGCCTGAGTTCTGAAAATGTACTGAAAAAAATAAACATCACCAACAACACAGTGACACATATCAGTGCTGTTGTCTATGTCTGATATTAAAGAGTAATATATTTATATTTATATTTTACTCCTGCAATAAACAGGCAGTAATAATATATAGAAAGACTGACGTTATGTATCACTTATCAGTGAAACTGCTTATGTCAATAATGAAAATGTTGACTTCTCTATCAGTTGTATCTGTCACTGGGATAAATTCTGATCCCTTGCAGGGTTTTTACAGCCAGCCAGTAATTATTCTGTCATAACCTGCTATATTTTTAGGTTAGTGATGACAAACCACCTGCACTGCAGCTGTTGTGACCTGTTTTTCCCATGATGCTCAGTCAGTCCAAGGTTAGGGCAAAGACTAGCTATCATCACAGGGAAAGTAAAGAACGATAGTTACATTGCTATACAAAAGCCAGCATTTTTTTTGTTTTCATTCTCTGTTTTATTGAGGTGAAGAGTGAGTCAAAGAATACAGAAATAGCAGTGGGTGACAATCCACAAGTGTACAGTAAGTGCATTTGGATGCAGTATATCTCTTTTTTTTTATTATTTTTTTAAGTAGAAGAATTTAGATACACATTATAGGAGACTAGTATTATGTTAGGCAAGCGCGGTGCTTTATCTTTGTTTTATCTCTGTTAAATTGCTGCCAGCCACCCCATGTTTGTCTTAGTAAGAGTTTATAAGTATGTAGGGGCAGCACCCATTCCTGTCTCAACAGAGAAATTTGCCTTTTAGCTGATACCAGCAAGGTGATTTGTATGTTTTATAGCCCTATTGAGGCTTAATAAGTATGTAGGGGTTTATAAAACAGATGTTTACACTTTGTCTGATACCAGCAAAGTTTATTGTATGTGTAGAAGCCCTATAAAGGGTTAAATGTGAAAGGGTTTATAAAATACCCGTTCCTGTCTTACTGGAGATTCTTGGGTGATGTCAGCATATCTAATGGCTAGTGTAGGATTCACCTTTTGGGGCTTGCCTTGACGTGGCAGGTGAGGTTATATTCAAATGGCCATTGGAATAAAACTAAAGAGCCTCCATTTTGTTTAAATGTACATGGGGATTTAGGCCAGAGTGCAGGTAACATTCTCTTTGTTTTTACTATGTATTTTGAGCTGTTGGATACTAAGCTACTGCTGCTGTAAGCGCGGTGCTTTATCTTTGTGTAAATGACAAAACAGCATTGTGTGTTAGAGAAGCTAAGTCGATCTATTCCTATAATGTCAGTAACCCAGTGGTCATTCTGTGTGAGGTAAATTCCACTCCAATAAGAGATGCATCATAATGCACGGCCCCCAACAGATCTATTGGTTAGCTTATTACTTCAGTTTAACAGGGGTGTCTAGAATAAATAGCGTAGCACATACTTATATTAGGCAATAGTGTAGGTGTTATAGGTGAATATGGTTGGCAACTGCAATGCTGAGTGTGAATATTATAGGTAGAGAGTTGTGGCCACAGTCCATTGGCCTTAACACAAGTGAGTATATCTTATTAGAGATCTGCTTAGATGAGTTGAAGTAAAATTACAACCCCTAACCATGGGGGACACAGAGGGGAGAGGTTAAGTTAGGCTATGAGAGTGTGTCCCGTTTTCTGTAGATAATGGCCTTCTTTAAGACATGGAAAACCACCTATGCAAACTAGAGTTCCTGACTAGCTATTGTGTGCCAGGTGTGTAGGTATTGGCAATTTTGGAACTTTAGAACTAAGGAAAACCAACAACATAAAACAAATAAACAAAACATTATGCTTGTTCCAGGATATCATCTCAGGTCAGTGCCCCGCGCTTCTCTCCACTTCTAGGAGTGTAGGGTACTACTCTCCCTGGATCCTATATACGTGAAGTAGAGGGTGTTGCGGGTGTCATCTGTCTTGTGGGAATCCCCAATGCTTGGAAATAAGAGTCTGTCTCTGTCAGTGAGGTAAGTCTCTGCAAAAAGAGAAAATACAAACCGCACTCCAATCAAGTGAAGATCCGGGTGCTAAACTGGACAAAGGGCCAGCACCAGCCCCAGGGAGTAGATATCAGTAGTAGAAAGAGGATCCAGGGACTCCAAGTATCTTCAAATGTGTTTATTGGGACAAGTGAAATGTCGCAACGTTTCAACCCCTGAAAGGGTCTTTTTCAAGCTTGACAAAGACCTTTCCAGAGATCGAAACATTGCGGTCTATCACTTGTGCCAATAAACACATTTGAAGATACTTGGAGTGCCAGGATCCTCTTTCCACCAGTGAGGTAGGTCTTAATGGAACGCCCTCTTTGGTAACCATTAGGGCTCTTGGCAGGGTTCATCGGTATTCAATGCCTGCTGAACATAATTGATTTGTCACTGGTCCTAGTGATCAGCCCCATAGTAGAGTATTGCATGTTAGGTCTTGATAGAAGGTGAGTTGAGATGACTCAAAAGGTAAGCAGGGTCTTTCCCCTGACTCCTGCCAGGGTTTGTTTTTTGTCATTTAAGGATTGACATTGGATAATAACATAATGGGAGGCCGTAGCTGGTGCCATCAAACATAATATTTTTTGCCTGTGCTTGCGGTATGAGTATGTTGGTGAGGCATCTGAGGTAATAAGGCAATTCTGATGGGCCAATGGAATAAGGGATAACTTGAAAATTGAGGTTGTTGCGTCTGGTACGGTCCTCAGACAGATCAACTCTGGTTGTGAGAGAAAATTGGGAAGACTGCATCATGTGTACAGTTTCTTTTAGGCCCTGTATGTCTTGTCTCAGGTCTTGAATGTCTTCTTCAGAAGAATGAGTGTGTGCTGTCCCGGCTTGGACTTTGGTCCTTATCAGATGTATATCTGCAGCATGAATCTGTCGCTTTTCCTGTAGTAAATCTGCAATGTCTCATTTAGTGGCAGGAGTTATATTATTTCGACTTGCCATCTCTGCCCAAGGTTATCGGGTTATGGGGGGCTCCATCGGTACCTCCGTAGTCACCTCCAACCCGTTCGGGCTTTGTCTGTGGTCTGCCAACTTAGATGTTGCAGTATTTCCCCAATATTCAGGGTGTCTTTGCTCGCACCCGGTTGTGGTCTTTAAGATCTCCTGCCCACGGTTTCTGTTTCCCTCATGGAAAGCATGCTCAGAGCCTGGGGTGAGTATAGAGCTGTGGCTGTCGTTGCCTCCAGTGTGACCCTTTGTGATATGGAACATGAGGTAGGCCCCAGATCTTCGTCAGGTTTTCTTACCAGATTGCTGGTACAGAAATGGCATTGGCGTGTGGTTCATACCTAAGGGGTGTTAAGGCAAGTTTTCACACACTTGGATGGCACTGTGGGACTTCAGATTATCGCTGATTAGTAGAGATGTCGCGAACTTCCCGCGAACGGCTCGCCACGGTTCGCCACGAACCGTTCGCGGCGAGCTCCGTTCAGCTGACACATCCCAGCCAATCTCCAGCAGACCCTCCTTCCCAGACCCTCCCACCTCCTGGACAGCATCCATGTTGAAGCTGCCTTCAACATGGATGCTGTCCAGGAGGTGGGAGGATCTGGGAGGGAGGGTCTGCTGGAGATTGGCCGGGATGTGTCAGCTGACCGGAGCTCGCCACGAACGGTTCGTAGCGAACCGTGGCGAGCCGTTCGCGAGCCGTTCGTGGGAAGTTCGCGAACGATTCGCGACATCACTACTGATTAGTCGACGAGTATCAGGAGCTTTACTGAGTAGCTTCCATTCCGCTCAGGCGCTCGGCGCCACCCCTTTTTTAAAAATTTTTTTTACTGTAATACACAATTTTTTGGTTTGTGATTTTAAAAAGTTTCATTTAGCAACTCATGCAAGAAGGGTCTCTTAGAAGAGTATTACTCGAGTATTTAAATGGGAATTGTCCAATCTCATGAAATTACATAATTGAATAAAAAGCTGAACATCACCTATAGTGCTCATGCCATTGTACAGACCACTGGTGAGACCTCACTTGGAGTATTGTACGCTGTACTGGAGACTGTATCTTCAGAAGGATATTGATACTTTAGAGAGAGTTCAGAGAAGGGCTACTAAACTGGTTCATGGATTGCAGAATAAAACTTACCATGTATAGCTTGGAGGAAAGACGATACAGGGGGGATATGATAGAAACATTTAAATACATAAAGGCAATCAACACAGTAAAGGAGGAGACTATATTTAAAAGAAGAAAAACTACTACAACAAGAGGACATAGCCTCAAATTAGAGGAGCAAAGGTTTAAAAATAATATCAGGAAGTATTACTTTACTGAGAGGGTAGTGGATGCCTGGAATAGCCTTCCAGCAGAAGTGGTAGAGGTTAACACAGTAAAGGAGTTTAAGCATGTGGGATAGGCATAAGGCTATCCTAACTATAAAATAAGACCAGGGACTAATAAAAGTATTTAGAAAATTGGGCAGACTAGATGGGCCGAATGGTTCTTATCTTCCATCACATTCTATGTTTCTATAACTTGTTTTATATTCTAATTATGTTTCATTTTTTTTCTAAATGTATATTACAGATTTGTCGACTGACTTCAATCCACTCACAGTCAGGGCACACGTTGCATTGGGGGAGAAAATCCAGAAGCATTATATCTGTCTCTCCTCAACTCCCTATTCTCAGTCAATACTGACTGACAGGTGCAAAGGACAGAACTAATAACAGTGACTGACAGGGAGCCAAGATGGAGGCACAAAGTTCCAATGAGGAAACTACAGCTTTGTGAATTAAAGCAGTTGTGTCTAGCATGTTAAATGTTCTTAGGTTGGCCAAAAAATGCCTAGATGTTTTAAGCACTCATTGAGTTAATTCATTTTTTATTTGCACAAATGACCTACATTTTTTTTTTACCAGTTCTGCCTTGTGTAGATCATTTTGAGCTCTGGAGACACATTGAACTTATTTTACTTCTGGCCAAGATTTCATCAAGTGTTATACATACCGTAGCTAATTTAAAAGAAGAACTATATGTTAAATCTAATTAAGTATACTCTTAATAAAAAATATAATAAATAAAATTTAAAATATTTTTAATTAAGTATAAATTAGATTATATATTGCCAAAGTATATCAACTAACAGCAAAGAGACTATTATTATGTAAAATAAGTAGAATGGGGGGCAGAGCCTGACTGCCGGGCTGATCAGTCACACATCCCGAGAGCTCTGAGGAATAAAAATAAAAGAACTTGCCTAAATCGAAGACTAGCGGTCCACAGTTGCAGACTTCAGCCAGCCAACGCTGGTTGGTAACCAGATGGACCCCTCGGTGGCTGTTCTAGGTGTTCCTCTGGCCAAGCCCGGCGGATCTTGTTGGGGAATGACCTGCGGCCTAGCAGGGGCCTATTCACGGACCAGGGGAGGGAAGCGGCCGATCCCTCTACTGCCGTGGAGTGCCGAGTACTACTATACAAGTGTCTGTACTAAGCTACATGAACCACCAAAGTCACCTCTGAGCCGCCCCTCATACTTTCTGTGGCCAGACATCTCCTCACCAAGCGAGCATGTGGCTCCCTGGCAAGTCACCGCCATGCTGGACAGTTATGTATACCCTGTGGGCATAGGCTAAAAGGGGTTAATTTGATTGGCATGTAGTCCTGGAGTCCTGTCTCTACATTCTACACCTCATGGGACATTGTCACCGTAGGCAGAAACCTAAGGCTCTGATACCTCCTGCATGTGTCCAGTTCATATTTTAATTTAATATACATGTACAAGCTTATACCATGCTATAAGATTCCTGCCTTATTGAATTCTAAGCAACTTTCTTCTTCTTGCAACCTATACTTTAGAAATAGTGCAGTAACCTTGACATGCATTGCTAATTCTCTCTAACACTCCATACTGTTGAAATATGACATGTCTATGTATATCTGTGATGTTGAACATGCACTAATATACAGAATTATAAAAAAAATGTAGAACAAAATATGTATAATCAATCTAGATGCAAATGTAACGATTATTGATATGTAATACTGGTCCACACACTACAAGCACTACAGTACACTGCCAGTTCCAGACCATGGCTTGTCCTCCCTAGAGTATATGTTGCATTTCCCACAGTAGAATTCCCCTTCTTCAGCATAAATCTCCTCTCATCAATACAGCCACTTATTTATAGAACATGTCCTTGCTCAATGCATATTTCTCCCCACACATAGAATAGTCCCCCTTCTTTACACGTAGCACCCCCAACATTCTATCCTATTACACAGTCACATCCCCAGGCCATAGCATAGCTCTCTAGGGAACAACCCCTTCATCTTCTTCATCACAGACAAATCAGTCCCCTCACGACATTATGATATTGAAAAGTGTAAACATTAAACATACTCTCATGTTGACATATATTGTCACTAGCACTGATTCATTAGTACGTATTATGCATTCATTATTCCCATATTTCAGACATTTTTTCTTCCCATGGATTGGGCTGTTGGCCAGCTCTTCGTGAGATTTTTCTGTGTAAGTGTACCAATCTGGAATCATGTGACGGCCGATGACCTTGCCAGCCAAACATTTTGCATGTAACAAACAATAGTAGCTATTCAGTGGAGGAAATACAGTGGCAGCAGTGTTCACAGTGTTTATCCCTAAAACAAAATATGACAGTTGGTGATAAGGATTAGCTAAACAGTTTTTGTTAATGTAGAGTACTGATCAGGACATCAGCAAATGCATCTCATGGATTGAACATGTTGAGCAGTGTGTAGGCAATGCAGTGGGCTCTGAATTACAAAAATCAGTGTGAAATGTCCTGAATATGACCCAAAATTGCAATCTGGATATCTGCCAAATGCAGTTTGGAAGTACTTTTAGTAACAGGCCCACAATGTGCTAATTGCACATATGGGTTATCAGGTTTTATTAGGCACACCTTCCTAGTGCTGAGTAGGATACCACCCATTAAAACACTGTCATTGTAGCAGAACCATCTTGAGATGATGTGTGCTTTGTGCCACAAAGTAACGTGTATGTATGTGTAAAAGGTAATAGCAAAAAATACTACTCAATCTCACAATTAATATGCTGCTATTTTGAGGTTAACAACAAACAACATGTTTTTGCAGGCATGGCAATTACATCAAAAGGTTAGGTTTATCTTCATTAGATAATCATTTTTGAACTATACATTGTGTCAGCTAAAACACATTCTACATCAGACCTCCACTGTTTTTGCTGATACTGTTATGTGTGTTCCTCCATGTTGCAATATTTCAGAACTAACAGTTCTTAGAATTTAGAAACACAACTGGGCTCAGACATAGGGTACAAGGCAAACAGTATAGCAGATAAATATTTTTCTAGAACTGACAAGATCCATAATACTGTTACCTTTAATATGAGTTGCCTACTGCCATGAAAAATACTCACTATTTGATAGATAAATGTGTCATACTTCTGTGCAAATTCATTTATCTTCTTTGTCTTCTAAATTCAGTAACTTCAAAGATTTTTGTTGAATTATTCTGATTTCCGTTACAGTCAGCTTGGGTTTTTTTCATATGAAATCCTCCTACATTATACAACAAAGTGAAATATCTCACTGATCTTTGCATTGTTTTTGAATTCATAAAAACTGTATGTTTTTCACGTTCCGCATTTGGTATTTTTGTGTGCCCTGTACTTTGCTCCTTGCAATTCAAATTCACAAGCAGTACACTCAAATCGTCATTCTTTTAGAACTCTCAGAGCAAGAAACTTTTATTCCATAAGAAACTAAAATCCACTACCATCCCAAAGCCTCCAGTGAAATGTATCCACAAAGGGTGGTTTATGAATTATAGTTGAAACATTACATGCCAAATAGAATATCATTTAAAATGCAGATAGCTTCACACCAAATCTTTCAGCTTAATGGGTTCATTTGTTAATAATTACCATGCAGCTAATGTCCATGTGAAAGCCTGTGGGAATGTGGCTGACTACTTTGTTGATTGATGTCTTTTTTATGCATATTGGTAGAATATGTTCAGAATTTAAAGGGACACTCTGAGCACCAATGCAACATTAATGCTTAGACTTGGTGGGTGGTACATTATTTTAAAAAGACAGAGAAAATAGAAAAGAGGGTGGAGTATGTCTTTATATTAGACCTGATTTAAAGCCAAGTGTTAAAGAAATTGTATGTTATGATAGAGGAGAGGATGGGGAAGCCTTATGGGTAGAAATACGCATAGGAGGAAGCAGGGGATATCCATTAATAGTACAATAGAACATGATACAAGCTCCCAAATATTAAAGGAACACTATAGTTACCTAAACAACTATAGCTTAATGAAGCCGTTTTGATGTATATATAATGCTTCTCAGGTTTCACTGCTCAATTCACTGCCATTTAGGAGTTAAATCACTTTGTTTCTGTGTATGCAGCCCTTGCCACACCTCCCCTGACTCTGATTGACACCGCCTGCATGAAAAAAAACTGGTTTCACTTTCAATCGGATGTAATTTACCTTAAACAATTGTATATCTTTATCTGTAAATTGAACTTTAATCACATACAGGATGCTCTTGCAGGGTCTAGCAAGCTATTAACATAGCAGGGGGTAAGAAAATCTAAATTAAACAGAACTTGTGATAAAGGAAGGATAAACTTTAGATGTCTCTTTACAGAAAGTTTTTAGGAAGGCCGTGTAAGTCACATGCATGGAGGTGTGAAAAGGGCTATATAAACAAAGTGATTTAACTCCTAAATGGAAGAGAATTGAACAGTTAGACTGCAGGGGCATGATTTATACACCAAAACTGCTTCATTAAGCTTACGTTGTTCTTGTGACTATAGTGTCCCTTTAATACTGATGAGGAAGAACAACTCTGATCACAATTTAAGAAGGCTGCACAACTGGGTAATTTGTTAATCATGGGGGTTTTAATTATCCAGACATTGATTGGGCCAAAGGAACTAGTAGTAAAGTTAAGGGAAACAGGTTTTTGAACCTGATAAATGATAATTTCATGTTTCATTTAGTAGAAACGCCAACTAGAAGAGTTGCTTGTTTGGATCTTGTCATAAGTAATAATGTTGACTTATTTTCAAACATTCAAGCTAAAGAGCACTTGGAAAATAGTGACCATAATATGGTTTAATTTGAGATTAACTCTGAAATTTGGGCTGTACAAAAACACTTAAGGGGACACTGTAGTCACAAGAACAACTCACTGCCTTTTCAGAGAAGCACAGTCACAGTCTCCATGAAAATAAGGTTTTATTCTTACAGCACAGAGTCTTTATTTTAGAAGTTATTGTTTCCTATTCTGTTTATTTAATTTTAATCACACACATAAAGCTGCTGTATGCTCTTAACAGAGCAGGAGAAAAGAAATGTTAAATTAACACACTGTGCAAAATGTAATCTACAAAATTTAGACTCTTTTAGGAAGTGTGAAGGCAGGCTATGTGAGTGTCAGCTGGGGACATGTGGCAAGTGCTGCATTAACAAATTGATTTTACTCCTAATTGGTAAAGAATTGAGCAGTGATATTGTAGGGGCATGATCTATATACACCAAAACTGCTTCAATAAAGGAGCACTTTAGTGTTAGGAGTACAAAGATGTATTCCTAACACTAAATTGTCCCTCTGACTCCACACTACCCCCCAACCATGAAATGGTTAAAAAAGCTGCATCGATGTCCCTTTGCACTGCTTCGCACTTCTCATCGACTAACATCTGCTGATTGGAACCTAAAGCAGTATTAGACCTTCCCCATAAGAAAGCATTGCAGGATTAAGGTTACAGGTAAACTGCGCCGGACAACTTCAATGGATGAAGTGATTTGGGTGCCTATAGTGTCCCTTTAAGCATAATATTTGTTAAAGGCTGAATTTGATAGAGCGGGGTCCTTTTTGAACAACAAGATAGCATTATTGGAGACTTTTTGGATGCTGACAAGCCCTCAAGCTCAGTTTGATGGACGCAGGTAAACTGATATAAGGAAGAGAAACCATAAAATAAACTCAACTGGTTTGTTATGGTTAAAAATTTTCTCTGCTTATCCTTTAGAAGTAAATTTGGAGTAGTAACATTGTATTTTTGTTGCAGAGCAGAAAACTGGCAGACAAAGTGTGCAAGTATAAACAACAATGGCTGAACATAGACTGTCAGCCAAAGGAAAGTGCCAGCAATTCGTTCTGTACAGTGTACATCAAGATATTCAAGATTTTAATTGCAGTGCAGGGTGAAGAAGTACACTTATTGCGTTAAATTCAATGCACTGCTTGTGACGAACTGAACATCGTCACGGGTTCTTGGAGGGGCCTGCTGGCCAGCCTCTTGCCTCAGGACTATGGGCCCTGCAATATACCTTGCCCAATGCACTTTAAAAGACTCTGTTCATGTTAGTTCATGTGAGTTATGTACTTTTGTATTCCAGACAGAGACCGACCGTTAGCCCTGATTCCTTGGAACTGTTTTGGGCATGGGACCATGCGGGCGGTCGGTTAAAACTAAGACTTACAGGAAATTCCTTAACCCCTACAATGATCTGGGTAATTTTCCCAATTCACAATGCCACCACACATCAGTTACACTCTTGTTTCTTGAAGGTTTTGCAGATGATTCTGCTGGCCCCTTAATGCCTGAAGTGGTGCCAGCTAAAAGCACCACCTGGGTTTCATGGATCAATCTGGATCTCTTATAGGCCAGCCACTGATGGCACAATTAGGGCTAAAATAGCTGATCTGGAACAATTCTAGTCTATCGTCAAAGCTTGATTATTTTAGCCTAAATGTTGTCAGTTGGATTTGTTTCGAGGTAGTGAATAACCCTACAAGTGTGCAATAATTTGCATCTAATGAAAGTTACCATTTAAACCATGTAACTTCTTGACATGACAGCTGTTAAAATATTACCATACACAAGCACTCTCACTGGGAAAGCCTGTTTCATTTAATTCAAGCAATAGTTTCTCTGTGTACTTTGTTATTTATTGTACTTCCTGGCTTGTCACATTAATAAACCTGTATAAAACAACTTAAAGGGTTTTACTTTACGCTATGCATATTTAAGATAAACTAAGCTTGAATAAAAATTCTTGCAGGTCAGTAGCAATTTGTTACACTCAAAGGAGAACTCAAACTGTATTTATTCCATGCATCTTTGTAAAGGGAAAAATACTCAATAGCTCAAAATTAATTCCTGGAAACTCCAAGTAATAAAGATACACAACTCCTTGATAATAATAATGA